TGTAGTAGGTGTGGTAGGTGTTGAATTATTGTGTGGTAGGTGTGGAATTATTTGTAACCATTGGATTGTAATTGTGGTGGCACAATCTTAGCCATTAATTTAGGAGGTGCCACTAGTATAAATAGGGGTGGAGTCTTTGAGTTTGTATCAAGCCAAGTTAAGGTGTTAAATAAGAGTGAAGCTTCTTCCATAAGTTGTTTTTTAGCCTTTGTCATTTCCTAAAAGCTTTTCCATTCCAACATTGCCTTCCATACTCGATCGAGCAAAACGGGCAACAAATGCTCGCCGGGGATGGAACCTGCAACCATTGTTCTTCAGATGAATGTCTCAATGAAGGAGAAGAGCTAATTTTCTTTTTTTTTTTATCAGTTGGTCAAGGAAATGACCTCTTTATGGGTGTGGGAGGTGGAAAAATTATTGTTTTCGAGCGTTAGGACAACTTTGTGGATCACAACACATCACGTTAGTGTGCTAACATTAATGAGGGTGTGGGTGATTTACGGTTAGGATGTATTTCAGTGGGCCTCACCAAAATTTAAAAAAAAAAAAACTGAAATATATCCTGACCGTAGATCACCGTGATCTACGGTCAGGATTGGACACCGCATGCAGAGATGCATGCGGTGTCCGTATGCAATAATTTCTCGTGGACCACACCTCGTTAGCATGTGTGGGTGAGATTTAAACTAGAAGTTAGGTTTAAGTTGTTAAGCATATTTTTTGTCCTATCAAAATAAATTTAGGAGATAATTGGAATAATTGTTTTTTCTTTATATATATTTTTTTATTTTTTATTTTTAAAAATACTTTATTTAGTATTTTTTGTATGATTTTATTTTTATTTCTAAATATAAATTAACATGCCTTTGAAGACATGCAATTTTTTTTTTTTTTTGATGTTTTGTGTGCCTTTAAAAACAATAATATTTTAATCAAATAAATAAATCAAAAGATAAACAAATTAAAATAAAAATAAAAAATAGAAAAAAAAAAAAACAAAAGTGACACCATGTCATTAAGGGGTCAGTTGAGATCATTCTATTTTTATATTTTATATTTATTTTTTACTTTTATTTTATTTTGTTTGTGTTGATCTGTATTGAAACACAATATATTTAATTAAGATATTGTTATTATTAAAAGCCCTCAAAATACCTAAAAATTATTTTTAACAATCTAAAAAACATTTTAATTTATTTTAGAAATAAAAAATAAGAACATACAAAAAAAAACATATCAAACAAATATATTCATATGAACAATGTTGGGATTTTTTTATTTTTCCTTTTGCATCCATACACTTATACCATCATTTGGATGATGAAATGTTCATACACTTGCAGTGCTTATGCACTTGGCACCTTACTTTGAGCTTGGTGTTGCCCATATGCATTATACTAGCTTGGGATGGATAAAACGGAGTGCTCATTAACTGGATAATCTTGGACTAAACTTTATGCTCTATTCACTTATCTCTGATTCACCCAGGCATCGTTTTAATTCCAGCATCACACTAAGTTGCGTTGATTAGATGCTTAAATGCGAGGCGTGTAAGCATTCTTTCATGTTATTTTGACCCCCAATTAATGAACTAAAGTAAAAGGGCACTTTTGTAATGTGGTACCGCTCACCTACCACATCTCACCTACCGT